GTGTGGGGCCGGGGGGGGAGGGAGGGTGTGAAGAGGATGGAGGGATGGAGCGAGACAGAGAGGAAGGCGGTGGGACGGGCGTGCAGTCTTCTCCAACCTGTCTTTGACACCGGCGTTCTCGTCTCCGGCCGCGCGCTTGCTTGACGCCCGTCCTAGAGTCCCCGACCCGCGGCCCCTGAGCCCTCCCGCGATGTCCCCTCGGGCCACTCCCTCATCGCCTTATTCCCCTCACGCCCACAGGGACTGATGCGGCCTCAGGCGTCCTTTCTCTCCTGTGTGGCCTTCTTGTAGGCCCCTACGCCCTGCTGGTGACAGCTCTTCTCTCTCTCCTGTCAAGGACGATGAGCGCCTTCAGCCCCCGTCTCGCTCGCTCCTTCCTCCCCCCTCTCGTCCTCCTGGGCCTCGGCACTGGCGCTGCTTCACTGCTTTCTCCTTCCCCCACATCCGCGTCCCCCAACGTCTTGTCACAGGAGGACGACGCGGTGCCCCCCTCCCTCTCCTCCTCTCCCCGGCGCCGCCAGCACGACCAAGCCTGTGCTCACCTCCTTCAACACCTTTCGCGCTTCAAGGCCCCTCCCTCCTTCGCTTCCTCCCCCCCGTCCTCCTCCCGCCGTCGCCGTCGTGGTGGTGCCGCTACGACCCGCCGTTACCTGCAGCAGACCCTCCCTCCTTCCCGGGAGCGGGCAGGCGGGAGGGAGGTTCTTAGGGCGGTGGAATGTCGAGACGCCTTGGGCCGCTCCGCCCTGGCGATCGCGGCCATGCAGGGCGACGAGGAGAGCGTGCAGGTGCTGATAGAGGACGGGTATCAGGTCGGGGCGGAGGACGTGCACCGACTCACCCCTCTCTCGTACGCGGCCTGGAAAGGGCATGCGGCTGTGGTGGAGCTCCTGCTGGAGGGAGGCGCAGACGGCGGGCATTTCGACGACTTCGGGGTAACGCCACTCCACAAGGCAGCGGCCTTCGGGCACCCCCGTGTGGTGAGCATGCTCTTGCGGGGGAGGGGTCGGGAGGAATGTGAAGGGGAAGCGCCCCTGGAGGCGGACCTGCCCACGGGTCCGGTCCTCGCGCCTCCGCACTACGAAGCCCAGAGCCTCCACCAGACTCCGCTTCATCTTTCCCTCCGCCCCTCTCCAGCCCTCGACTCTGCCGTCCGCCAAGAGCTTGTGTTGACCCTGCTGGCGCACGGGGCCTCTGTGAGCGCGCAGGACCTAAATGGGGACACCGCCTTGCACGCCGCTGCGCGACTCGGGGAGGCGCCGCTCTTGTGGCTGCTGCTGGTTGGGGCAACAGAGGAAGGGCAAGACAGGGGAGGGAGGAGCGTGGAAAGAGAAGCAGAAAGGAAGAAGGCGTGGAGGATCACAAATGCGAAGGGAGAGACGCCTGTCGAGTGCTTAGCGTGGTGGAAGCTGTACCTTAGCCTTCTGTTTCTGATGGCGGGTGCATGGGGTTAGTGCACGTAATGTCAAGACTAGGACTGGACTTTGGATCGGGTGATATAAGCAAATAAACAAATGCATCGTGTCGACAGTATCAAAAGGCGTGTGTCTAGGTTGCCAGGCTCACATATCTCTCACAATGATTATTTCGCGCGTTTCGCCGTGGAAGCGATCTATTTTTAGTGGTGGTCTCATTAAGGTTTACTGCGATTCTCTTTTGGTTGCACTGGCGCGATCGGATCTGCTTTTTTAAAAAAATTAACCAGGCTCGCCTGCTCTCTTTCCTCTCACCTTTACTTTCGACTCGCCTCGCCCACATGTCGACAGAAGATAGCATGCCTGATGGGAACCATTTAGACAAGTCGGATTGTACGGCTGCCCATCAGGTCACTGCTGGAGCAGTCTTCTCAATCCTCCGACAGGGCATATGCTCCGCATCCCTGCACTGCGACGTGGCACCCGCCTGATTCGTTTGGACAAGGCGGGGAACCAGGCGGGTGGTCTCTCCTCCTTCAAGTGGAGTCCTGTAACGATCCCACGATCCAGAATCTCCTGCAGATCAACTGCGCAACGAACTCTACAACACATCTACATATATATAAACATCCACCCTTTACGTGTGCAAATACCCTGCCTTTCCACCAGCATCCGCGCTATCCCACAGCAAGGAATATCTATCATCCGGAAATGTCAGCCCTGTACCCATTAAAGTCCTCATCTCCTGCCGACATCCCATCGTTTTCCTCGCATGACAGAGAGCAGCG